ATAATGACAGATTTCTCTGAGTTTGAACATTGTTGGAAACATTTGGGATAATGTAAGAACTCAGCTGATGTGTTGCTGGACAAAAAATTGGTAAAAACATGAAAAAAGTGTCTCAAACAGACAGAAAGGAAGACGCTCAATCCAAAAAGGGACCCAAATGCAGTCAAAAATGCAGAATCCACCCATTAAGAAGCAGCGTGGATGGAAAAGAGTAACAATGACACAAATGTTCTTACTAGGTAGAAATCAGCCTCCAGTAAAGACACACGACTTCTTATTGGCTAAACTAAAACACTATTCAGAAACTTCACGCCTGAATCTGAAGTAGCGACATCAGGTCGTTCTGTCTCTCACCTCTTTGTCGGACTTCTGCACTTTGGCCTCGGCGTCGTACCTCGCGTCGTCCACCTTGTCAATGAGTGCCGCAAGCTTCTTGCAGACCTCCTGTTGATTCACAAAACGAACAAACACCTCGTTAAACACATTTTTTCAGCTGTGATTTTTAATGGTCCTAAACTGAGCTGAGACCATTTGAAAGGTTATCAATACTTGATCAATACAATTCAGTTCAGTGGAAGAAGCACTTTGATTTCCAGAAAGCTCACACAATATCATAAACAATGGGTCCAGATAAGAATATTATTTATGTTTTATTGCAAATAAAGTGATTAAATTATAATTTATTTATTTAAATTGAAATATTGTGTTGAAATCTTGAAATCTTGAGACAGAAAAACCTGGAAATGTGAGTGAAAAACCTGACAAAAAGAGGTAAAACAGGACCCATATAGTGTGTTAAAATGCAGGTATTTATGGTAAAAACCATAAAAGTGAAACAAATGTGAGATTAAAAACAGAAATATTCATTTAGTGGCCACAATTCAGACAGAAAGAACCCTGAAATTTAGATAAAGTATGAACCAAAAATCTGATATTGTGAGTAAAAGTCCAAAAGTTTTATCATTAAAAATGGAAGTGAAGCTATTTATTATAAACTATTGGGTAGTTTATTTTGTTACTATTCTTTTTTTGTATCAACAATTTCAATCCACAAAGTAACTAAAGGCACCAAATCAATATAGTGAAGTAAAAGTAAAATAAAAAAGAAATACTTGTTCTTCAGTACTTTAGTATTAAGATGTAACATTTTCTATTTTTACTTTAGTAAAATATCTCAAAACTTTTTCTACAACTGATAAATTTAAGTATTAAAGGACCAGTTTGCAGGATTTAGTGACGTCTAGTGGCGAAGTGGCGAATTGCAACTAACTGAACACTGCTCGCATCTGTATTTTAAGTCTACGGTCGCTGTGAAAAGCCAGAGTTTGGTTTGTCCATTCTGGGCTACTAGAAGAGGACCCGCTGCCTCTGTGGTTAAAAACATGCAAAGGTAACGAAAACACAACGATTCTTATTTTCAGGTGACTAACTAGCTAACGGCGGCACAAAGACGCCGCCATCGTCTCACCTGGAGGGCGGCCAGGTCTCCGCTGAGGTCGGGGGTGGGGCAGTTCTCAGCCATGTACGCCTCCTTCGCCGCCGCGATGTCCTTCTTCTCCTGCTCGATCCAGTTGGCGGCAATCTGAAGCATCAAACTCTGCAGGGAGGTAAAATAATAAAAAGGTTATAACGACGTTTTAATGCTGAAACTTAAAAAGGTAAATAAAGGATTTAATCTCACCTTCAGATGATGCCTGCGGCTGGACGTCATTTTCTTTCCCCTGTGAGACACAAATTAAAGTCTCATTTTCTACAAATCTTTTATTCTTTAAGGAGTTTTAACTAGTTAGTAAGCCGAGAACCGAAAGAAGTTTCGATATTTATATGTAATTATTCTTAATATCTGTGTATTCAGGTCTGATTTCCCCTTTAAATCAATGAAACCGTTTTCTTCCACAGGGGGAGAATCAACCCAAGATTAAAGTTCCTTGTAGATGCTTTAAAGAGGAATTAAACCATTACGGAAGGACTCAGATTGATATTTCCGGCCAGTTTCCATTTCTACCTAATGTTGTTGTTTAGTTTCCTGCGTCTGATAATCCATAATTAAAATCAATTAATTTACACGTTAAAGCTGAAAATAACAAACACTTTTTGTTTGTATAAAAATAAACGCGATATAATGTCAGTTAGCTTTAGAGGGTGCTGGTAGTTCTTTGGACAGAGCCAGGCTATGTCAGAAATGGATTCAGCATCCTCAATAACCCAAAAACAACTCCAATATTATCCAAATCAGCCAATCAGCTGCTGAAACATTGTTCATACAGGTGATTATTAATGCTAATTATGCTAATTGTCCAACGCTTGTAAGAATTTCTGAATTCTGGGGACCCAAACTTTACATTTCTAACA